CAGCGCCCATGAGATGCACAGCATGTGTGCGAGCTTTGGTAAAAATAGACCCTACAAAAACGGTTAAAAGCCTGTTTGAGGCTCATAATCAGGACCTCCTCCACTCCCCTTTTCACCCGCAGTGCGCGGCTAGGATTGCATCAGAGCTTCCGCCCCACAATCCCAGCGCGTCACCCAAGATTGTGATCATAGAAGCCGATAATTCAAACAATCAATGTTAGAACGCCTTCACAAAACACTCACCTTACCTGACACAGCGTCTGTTCTACAACTAAACTGCAGACACTCACTAGATGTAGCCAATTCACTCTTTAATTCTGAAACCACTACCCTATTTTCAATACTTGCATTACAAGAACCAGCGGTCAACGGCTGGGACTATTTGCCACACAAACACAGCAATTGGACACTGATAAGCCCAACGCCAGTTGCGAAAAACACGGGTTACCGCCCACGAGCCTGTCTTTACATCAGAAAAGATCTGCAGGCACAGATCAATCCTCTAACATCACCCTCGAGGGATATCGCCGCTTGTACTATCACTTTTACAAGCGGATACTCACTACTGGTAGTGAGCATCTACAATGACCCAGCTATCTTCTCAGGTTTCGTTGCATACGAGAACCTGATGAAGAGTGTACCCCTAGAAATTCAATTGCTACCACCATCCTCACTACAGACTGCAACCTGCACTCTGTACTCTGGAACCCTGACCATATCACCACACAGGATAGAGACGCGGAGAGGCTTGTCAACCTAATGTTTGAATGGGACCTCCGACTTTGCTCGCCTACGGGGGTGGCCACTTTTGGAGTAGGCTCCCGCACCACGCTAGGCACATCCATTGACCAAGTATGGGTCAATGAAGTGCTCGACAAGGCCATCCAACAGTGCATCATCGACGTCGACAATCTCACCAGCCACCTATCAGATCACCAAGCCCTCATCACCATCCTTTCAATCATCAGCAGTAGCCAGTCAGTCCACAAAAACGGCACGAGATCTAAGAAGAATTGGAAAAAGGTTGAGATGATCGAACTCAAGAACAAAATTCAACAAAAACTCCCGGCTATCAAACCACTAACAACACGTGCTTTAATTGAAGAATTTGACAGCGAGCTGATCAACGCAATTACCTCCTCATTAGATAACAACTCACCCTGGAAGCCTCCTATTGGGAAACACAAGAGATGGTGGAACCCAATGGTGCTGGACCCTCTGAGAAAGGAAGCCTTGAGGGCCGAAAGAAAAATGAAGAAGTCGAGACTCGAAGATGACCGAAAGGCGTTCAAAATAGCTTGCAACAAATTTAAAGCAGCAGTCGAGAAGGCAAAGGAAGACAGCTGTAAAACATACCTGACAACCCTTACACACGACACACTCTTCCAGGCGAAAAAGTTTGCGTCAGGACGCCAACCATCGCCATTGATCAACACACTAATCACAAAGGATGGAGTTACCTGTACGTCCAATCAAGAAAAGGCTGAAGTTCTCTTCAATACCACATGTGTAGCAACGGCTCCATGTGATCTGCAGGACACAACCCCTCTGACCTTCCCTCTGACGGAGGAAACCAAGACGACAGAATCAAGAATGCCAAAACTTCTTGACTCACTCACCAAAGAATCCTTAGCTGAAATAGTCAACAACAGCCCACCATTACGAGCTCCAGGGAAGGACGGAATTCAGAACTGGGTCTGGAGAGACTTGTGGCCTCAGCTCAAGAGACATGTACTAGCACTCTTCCAATGCATTACAATCACTGGCATCTTTCCAACTAGATGGAAGGAAGCAAAGACGGTGATGATACCAAAGCCCGGGAAGTCCGACTATACTTCACCATCCTCCTTCCGGCCCATTGCGCTGCTCAATACAATCAGAAAACTTTATGAGAAGCTGATCACAATTCATCTCTCACAACAGGTCGAGAAACTACATCTCTTGAACCGAGGACACTATGGTGGCAGGCCCAACCGATCAAGCCACAAAGCCTTAGTCCACCTTGTATCATACATACAACGGGCATGGTCTAAAGGCAACATTGTAGGTGCAATGTTTGCTGATGTGAAATCCGCATTTCCATCAGTACATCATCCCCGCCTACTCGACACACTGGAGAAAAAAGGACTCCATTCACAAACACTCAACATCATTGACAACTTCCTGCTCAACCGCTCAACAAACTTGGTATTCAATGGGTTTGAATCATCACCCTTTGAACTCACGCATGGGCTCCCTCAAGGATCACCACTCTCCCCTCTCCTTTACCTCATCTACAATTCATCGCTCTTAGACATTGCTGACCCGATTGATTGGGCGGAATCTCTAGGCTTCATCGACGACGTCATCTTACTAGCCACAGCCCGAGACCCTAGTCAACTTCAATCAAAAATGCAGACATTAACTTATCGCCAAACAAAGTGGGCCGAAAAGCATGGTGCAATATTTGATACTAAGAAAAGTCATTGGGTAATTTTCAGCACCCAAACTTACGACGACCCTCCCACCATTGATTTTGGTGACAGGAAAAAGCTAACCCCACACAACAGTGCAAAGTGGTTGGGAGTTACCCTAGATAGCAAACTGAAATTCAACCAACACCGTCTCAACGACATTGCCAAAGGTAAACAACGAGCGGGATTCATTGCATCACTTGAAAAATTGGAATGGGGTATACATCTGTGTCTCATGAGAACGCTCCTCTCGGCCACGGTCCACGCTGCAACCGACTACGGAGTTGCTGCATGGCTGCCACTTGAACCACCCAAATACTTCCTCAATAATCTTTTGACCATTGATAACACCAGTGCTAGATCAGCACTTGGAGCTCTCCACACCACACCCAAGGCATTCCTCCAACATGACATGAACTTGACACGACCGGAGACTAGGTTAAAAGCTAAGATTCTCAATTTTATTGCCAAATCACTTTCAAAACCTAGTTACCACCCCCTTTTCCCCATTATCCAAAACGCGCAGACCTCAAAACCTCGGGACCACAGAAACATCTTCCATCAATTTTTCCAACACAAATTGGGAAGAGAATTTGACGAATTCACGACGCAACTCCCAATTGACCCAACAGCTGTGTTAATACGACCCCCAAACTACTCTACGATCATACAAGATGAGGACTCAGCCATTCAAGGCACTAAACTACTCAGGCATTCAAACAAACACCTCATAATCTACACGGATGGTTCACGGATTCCCACCAAGAACAAGGCGGCGGCAGCGTGGTGCCAAAATACCAATCGATCGATAGCTCAACACTTAGGCAAAGCACGTCTCCACGGCATATACCAGGCTGAGTACAAGGGTGTCCATCTAGGACTCACCATGGCGCTCAGAACGGCCACAAATCGCACTCGAAGAATCTCAGTTATCCTCGACAATCAATCAGTTATCAAGGACCTAGGCAACTGCCCTCCTTCAATTACATCACTTTCCGATAGGAAAGAAACGTTCAAGATCCTCACCTACCTGGCAGCGACATTCAGCAATGCTAGGATCGTGATCCGGTGGTGCCCTGGCCACAAAGGCATCACAGGTAACGAAGTAGTGGACAAGATAGCTAACGGTCTGGCAAAGAAGGATTTGCCTAGCACTTTCTCCTCTACTCCCACTTTAGCAGGCTTTATCACAGCGATTAAAGCATGGACAAGACTCGAAGAGAACAACTACAGCAAAGCGGACATCGCGAGACTTGGACACAAGCCGCTCCCAGCCAAGCACCTCAAAGCCCTCGGAAACTTGAACAAACACGAATGCGCAGCGATTACTCAGCTTCGCTCAAACCATATTCACCTCAACTCGTACTTATTCAGGCACCAGCAACGTTTTGATCCCCTCTGTGAATGCCAGCAAGGGGTGGAATCCACTGAACACTTTCTCTTTATATGCCATAGATACAAAAAACAACGTCAAGCACTTTCATCAGCTATTCAAGAGCTGCAACTAAATGAATCAACCAACGTCCTCAAGATCCCAAAAGCTTATGAATGCATTTCAAAATACTGTAACTCTACCTGGCGGCTCAAGAGCCGATGGGTGTGGGCAAAAATCAGTGATGAGAACATTCCCGTCAACCTCTCTATTCCCTCTATATAAGACCATATCCTTTAGCGCCACCATCTGTATCCAACATAACACTTGTAATACTTTAAACAGCCAGCACGTGACCTTTTCCCCACAGGGGTTTTTACTGGGGCGGAGCACAAGTAGTTATAGTGCCTGATAGCCTTTGGCTCAGGAGGCACTTAAAGCAATGCATAAAAAAAAAAAAAAAAAAAAGACACATCCAACAGGTTGGGCAGCAAAAGTAAGGATGCGGAAGAAGATGCATGCATCTGCGTCTTGATCAACCCAAACGGCTGTATACAGAGCTGTACAGTCTGTAGTCTCAGGTAGTCTCACGTCCTCTCATGTGAAGACTGATACGGCTACGCTCCGCCCTTCACAGGTGAGAACAGTATGTTGACTTACGATACCGTATCTGGTATCGTATTGAAATGGTCTATACTGTACTGTTATCGTGGAAAGTCAGTATCCAGACTTCAATATGTACTCTACTCAATATCGTCGATACAGTCAGTATCGTCGATACGATACTAGTATCGTATCGTATTGTATCGGGGCAGCTTTGACTTGACTGCACTGAATTTGCATTGAATCCCAACAATGAAACATTTTGGTGGTTTCATTTCAGTGATTGAAGTGTCTGATCATGATTGGGCTGACACCGGAATTTCTCTGCATCCATAAGCAATTCTGGGTCAAAAAAACTCCGAACCTACAGCCGTACTCATGATTGATGAACATTTGAAAGAAAAACTTTTTGATAATCACAGTTTTTTGCTGTGATTATTCAAATAGTTTTTTCAAAACATTTGAAAAGTTTTTTCAAGTGTTCATCAATCATGAATACGGCTGTACCATATCATAATTTTTAATACTGCGCCAGCTATAATGCAACAACAGTGGCACATGTGCATTATCCAGGTCGAATCGAGGATGGATGGGTTTGATGTGTACATTAGGGGAGATATCTGAGAACTCATGAGCATACATCAATCTCGGGCGCACCAAGCACACAATTGCCTCAGTGGGACGGAGAAAAGCAAACTTCAGGCAGGCATAGTTGATCAAGCAAAGATTACACGTTTTTCCATTCCATCATCTATTTTGTTTGCTTCCATTTCGCCCTGCCTAGTCGTGCGCTGCTCTTCCTGCTCTTTGCGAACGGCGTATTTGGCAGCAGCTTCGGATTTCTGTTGCTTCAAGACTTTGAAAGGTGGCACAAATTCTGCGATGATCAAAAGAGTCAATTGTGGGTTGCAAATCAACATTCGTGAACAACAGATTTTCGTGTGAGGAAATGTGATACTATTACCTTTATTTTCCCAAAGACAAGGGCCCCCGAAACTGCCCTCGAAGATTTTGATAGGTACCAAAACAAAACGAGGTCCAATCTCGGATAACGAAAGAGCATCCATACCAGTTTCCGCGATTTTCTTGGAGGTAGTCGCGGCTTGCTCACCCTTGGGTTTCTCCAGTATCTACAAGTCCATGAGGAGTGGCAAGTTGAATTAGACTTGAGATGTCGTTGATGCGGCGTTTGTAAGTTGCAGTCTTACCTGATAATTACGGAACCATATCTTGCCATCTATCACTGAAAAAGTAATGACATGGTCTACGAACGGCTTTGCCCGCTTGGCAGTCTTGGGGACAGCAAATATCTGCGAGCAAAACATGAGGTGAGAAGAGGGCCAATTAATGTTTGAGTGGGGATTGCAGATCATGCGGGTACTCACGTTTGTAAGAACTTCTTTACAAACTCTCCAGCTTGGTTCGGAATCAAATTCCTGTCCGAATTGCAGAATTGGCCTAGATCCTTTAAGACAGTTTCCTAGAGACCAAAGAAAGGCAAGAGATAGAATTCAATCAGCTGAGACACAGAAAACAGACCTAAGATTTGGGAATGCAAATATTTGAAGACTAACCAGTCATTTTCATCTCATCTATGGTATGCGAATTGACAACGTGAAAACGGATAGAAGGTCCATTGGGACAACCTGACGCCCACAGATAGAGATCTGCACGCCGTCTTGACTCAAAGTAGAGTGCATAGTTGCAAGAAGATAAGTCTGCCAATTCATTTATCAACGGAAGGGCGTGCTTGGAATCAAGCTTGGCATCTAGACGAAAGAATTGATTAAGAAGCTTCTTCCAAAGAAAACTTATGATACAATCAGGACATACCTTTTTTCCCATGAGTGACCAGGTCAGAGATATCATTCATGAGATGTCGCATACGATAAGTGATACCTCTGGAGCAAAGAATTAAAACTTTCGACTTGTAAGGCTTCTTCATTGTGGCATTCGACGTCTCATGTTCGCCCGGTTGTTTTCGCTTGGAGTTCGATCCCGCAAGTGCTTGGGCTTGAGCTGCCCGAGATGACATTGATTACTTTGTTGAACTTGAACTCTCAGAGGATGGTTGTGGGGGGATGAGGCCCGAATTGTAGAATGGAGATTGTAGAATGGAGAGAATCAAACCACGGTCAGAAAAAAAATCAAATTTTGCATCTTAAACGAGTGACACCGAGCTATGACACCGTAGTGTAGTACTGTCATGTATTTATTGCTCATGTAACAGGACTGTCCAGGACTTGACACAGCCGTGCATCTGTCACATGGCTGCAAGATGAAACTATGTGTATATAGGCACGCCGCCGCGTTCGGAGGCTCCGCGCTTTTCACGAGAAATTATTTATCCCGAGTTCCTAATTGGCTTTCGCGCAAAGAACCTGTCGCGATAACATTTACATCAAATACCTAGCTTCAATAACTGTGACCCTATACCGACCTGGCAGCATGCAGTCAAGTCATAGCAGACTGTCCCGTCTTGAAAGCATGAAGGAACACCTGATGCAATCTGCTCGTCAATGCAATCTGAAGGATGCGAGACAGCTTTCACCATTCGCGAAAAAATTGATACAAGTCAATGCTGACCAAGGGAAAGATGTTTTTCACCAACCGTATGTGATGGATACCCCTTTTGTGTCGGATCACCGCGCTGATTTGGCCTTGATATGTTTTCAGGAGGCATGCTGACCACTCCGGTGACCAACGCAGTCAAGCGCAGTCAGAGGCAACAGGAAGCGAAGATGACTTGAAACAGGCGGCTTTTGACTTGGCATTGGGAGTTCTTTTGGGGACCCACCATTGGCGTTCGACTAGTGACCTTGATCTCCCTACAGAAAGCACACAATGGTCCGAGCCGACCGATGCCAGTCAGGAAGCGATCACATCTTTAGACATAATCAACCTCCTGCTCCGCGAATGTAAAACGGAGATGAAAGAAAAGGGTCCATCAGCTTCTCAAGACCATCCTGGCCTCACTGCAGACATCGAGGTAGCAATCTGTAAAGCAATCTGGAAATATTGGAACTCCTCATTGGGTATTGCTCACAAGATTAAGGCTACTCTCACAAACCTCCTGGAGCATTCAGCTGCAGTCTCTCCTAATCCGCTTGATCGACCGGCTATTCAAACTTTTCTTACTTTGATCAAAGACGCAGTATTTGTCGAAAAACGGACATTTGCCGTCCTACTGTATCTCTTCTCATATATGTCGGCTGAAGAAACCTTACGAGAACTAAGATGCCATGTCAGCAATCGCAATGAATTCCTTTCGATTGTGTTACATGCCATCGGTGACGACAAAATCGCTTCGGTGGCTGGTCAGCTGGCGGTTAGATGGACGTTCATGACAATAGGTTGCGATAGTCCAAACACCCAAAATGGGGTTGACTCCCATGCTAACAAGAGCGAACATATGTGGATCTCAATCGCCTGCTCGATACTTCTTTGCGAGGATGAACGAAAGCGACAATATTTCTGCCGCTATTACCTTCGTAATTTATTCAAGCAAGACCCAACTTTTTTCAAGCAACTCAGTCGTGAGTTGATTTACAAAGTGAAATCTGGACCTGAGAAGTTCCCCGCCTCTGCCAGTCTTCCGGAGCTCTCCGGTGTAATCTCTCTAGCCTGTCTTGGACGATCAGTTGGGGGTCTTGACCATCCCGAGAATAAGGTGTACAGCGGGGAGGAATGCGAGTTGATCAACGAACCGACACTTTTAGTCTGTCTGTCACATTCATCAACCTCTTTAAGGTCATCCGCACTGTCTGTGATATGCCAATCTAACTCCTTTGCTGCACCTCTTCCATCGAGCCATTTGGCCTTGTTGGAGAAGTTCTTTCGCTGGAACCTTGGTGAGATTGATGCCGAACTGAAGCAAAACATCAAAAGCAATCTGAAGACTCTCTTGGAGCGTCTTCGTGATTCCTCTCATGCTGCAAACAAAAAAAGACAAGATCTCAAGACGAAAGAAAACAGGCAGTCATTATTTCCAAAAGATCCCCTCACCCTTACTGCGAATGAGACCATTCGTGCTCAGATGACAGTGCATGCGACCTATCTTGCTGAAGTTGAAGCCTTCTTAAATAAATTGAAGACCTTATGGCTATCCAACTGTACATTCTTTTCGCCCTATCGGAATCAAATATCTTGTCTGAATTATCTGAAGTTGCTCCTGGACACTGGTCTCGACACGTCTTTTCAGTCTCCAACCAACACCGCTAGCTTTGGGCCGTCGAAGGATCCTGCCGCTTCGAAGGGAGCTAAGAAGCTGCCAAAGGCTGGACAGATATCAAGGTTCCCTTTCGATTTGTGTATCATGGATCCTAGCTTGGTTAGGGTTTTAGTGGCTGCTTTAAACAGTACGTACGATGATATACGAAACCTTGCCTTCCTTATGTTACAAGGCTCTCCAACCCCTCTACCTGGCTATGAGCCCGAAGACAGCTTCGAACGCGACATTATCGATATTGCTGTCAAGCTTTCTGGATCAAAAAAGGCTAGCGAGACTTGTACGGGAAACCTCCTACTCCGGTTAATTGTTGACAAAGTGATTCTGAACGGGACATGTCGAGTGCCATTGGCCTTGCTACCCCGATCGCAGAATTGGTTAAAATCGGAAAACCCATTAGGTAAGCAATTGTCTATTGGTTCACATCAGACCCCACCAGTTCATAACGCAATCCTCATCGATCGGGATGGTATACCATGAAGCATTATTTCTATACGGTAGACTGGAGGCATTACAGGATTGTATCGAGGCAGCCGAAAGTAACATCGCTGACGCTTGCGAAAGTCGACCAGTCCAAGGCTTTTTGATGACGATTAGGTGAGCTAGCTGAACATAATATGTCCTCGTTTCCGGCATTTCAGATTGTGCCTCGCTTACCATCCCTTGAATGATCCTACGTGTAATATCAGCTCGCTCTTAACCTGCTTATCGGAATCTATGATGCAATCTCTGGTACAGTCCAACGATTTGTTCTCGATCCTCGAAAAGGCGAAACGGCTGGTCCAAAGAGTATGGGCCTTTGCCAGAGTCGTACTGTGCGCTGCAGCTCCCGATTCCAACTACATTGAAGAAGAATCGATGGCAGAGTTAGTTCCTGATCACGAAGATGCTCGAGCCGAGGTGCTGATAGCTGGCGATAATGCCGAGGTTGACTCAGCTGACGAGCGCGTCGAACTGACAGCTGCCTTCACCGGTACTCGCAAGAGAGCCGTGCTGAGTGCATGTTGGCGAGGCATGAAAGAAGCAAGGTATACGCGCTTTGAAGTAGTGTGCTTTTCCCAAAAGCTGATCAGTTCTTGATCTTCTTTTATTTGCACAACGCAGTGCCTTACTCACTGAAGTAGCAAGAGTTATGACAATGTATTTGAGTGGCTCGTATCTGCCTGGCCCAAGGGCCATCAGTCTGGATGACATCTCAGACATAGGTAGACTGTTTGAGACATGGCTACTCGAAATTCGACACCGCGGTGCGTTTGGTGCCATTCATGCATCGTATAGCAAGCTTTGTGGTATCCTCTGTAGTCCAACGTGCACTTCGACCTCGCAGCTTCCCGCCGCATGGCTGAAGATGCACATTAAGGCCATCACTTCTCGGAAGCTTTCGTTCACCCGTAGAAGTGCCGGATTACCGTTTTGTATACTATCAACATGTCAAGCGTTATCGTCTTGCGACCTTGCCGGACTTCAGGAAGCGTTTGGGATGATCTTGGAAATATCTCAAGATGTAGACACGCCTTTGGAATCTAAGATCCACTGCCTCAACACACTCAAAATCTTACACACGGATGCTTTGATATCTTCAAAAGTTGTCTCTCTCTTTGTTGAGCAGAGCTATGACCTCGCAATCCGGAGTTTTGTCTCTCCAGATTGGCGAATTCGCAACGGGGCTTTGATACTTTTTTCGGGTCTAACGAATCGAGTGTTTGGTAGTAGAGCGCTAGACATGGATAGAACATATCATATGCTTTGTAAAAGGGAAACAGTCACGGGTAAGTGAAAAGATCTGCCAACACTCTACAAAAGCTCACAGCTAAGGATTCGGTTTGACATCAAACTCGCAGATTTTTTTCATCGGCTACCTCTTCTGCATTCAATATTATTGAAGGAACTCAGGCGATCTATTGAAAACGACTTACACATAAGTCTTCAAGCCGATTTACAAAGCCCTCTTTTTGCAGTTCTTTCTCTGCTTTCGCTATTGCAAAATCCCAACGCAAGTCCGGTAGCAAATGACTACATCCCATTGGTCCAGCGATGTTTGGAGAGTAGGGTATCAAAGGTGAGCTCACACATGCAGCTCATATATACGTTTTTCCTCATCAGTCCTATTCTTGTCTAGATAAGGTCTATCAGTGCCGATGCCTTGACCGGACTTGTGCCATTCATGGACGTCCCCGCACGCCTGCGCGATCTGCTCGGCGAAGCTATGGTAGCCTCGAATTTCAATCAAGTGTGTCCCCTTTATCGTACAATCGTTGTGGAAGCGACAGATGCTGAGCATTGAGCATGTGACAAACCATCAGATGCATGGACAACTGCTAGCTATCAGTCGCCTGATAGAGGTTTCAGGTTCATTGTGTGTTGACGACAAAATGCAAGGTGAGTTTTTTTGATTTTTTTGACACACCTTCAGGTCTACAACTAAATAACTTTTTCTTCTCGCCATATTTTCCAGTCAGCGTTGCACTGCACCGATTAGCTGTGTCACTTTCGTCAAATAAGCCAACACCGTACTTGTGTCGCTTGGTATTCCTGCAGATTCTCGATGCAGCGCAGTCCCGCTTCGGTATTGAGATTGAACTTGAACTTTGCGGATCGCTGGTACTACCCCGGCTTTTGGTTTCTTTTGACGCATCAACACCTGCAATCAACTCGTTTCTTCATACTGCAGTCAAACAGCTGTTGAGTAGAAGAATGGATGCGACTTTACTATCCGAATGCCTTGTCAAAGGCCCGTCCGCGATACAAATATCAGCGCTGGAGTTCATATTGCAAGATTCGCGGGATCGGATTCCACCGAATATACTGATTGACGGTTCGGTTAAGCAGGCGATCATCAGTTTAAGTCGAGATGAAACGATATCTGTTAACTTACGTTTACCCGCCCTCCAAGTTTTGGCCGAAGGAATCGTCCCACTCACCTCTTCAGATTGGAAATTACCCGAGATCATTGATAATTACCAGAAGACAAGAATACTACCCATACAAAACGTGATCTTGATCATCATGGCTCATGGTTTAGTGAAACAATCTAAGAGTGATGGTGAGAATGACGACTTGAATGTCTGGAAGGAAACCTTCTTCGCCGAGGTCAAGATTGCATCCCTTGAGGAACAGGTAAGCAGTTTACCAAGCAAAAACGTGTGCGATTATTGACTGTGTATTTATAATCTCCAGAGTATTGACACTCGAATGTCGGCAGCCAAAGCTTTGTCGGCTGTCTGTGATATATACAGTACCCCTCTTTCACCTGACTGCATTCAGTTTTTAGACGCCGCCATCTCCCTGCTTCAAGATGATGACGAGGACGTTAGGTCCACAATTGTTGAATGTATTGGCAGGATTTCAAACCTTTCAGATGGATCTCCAAAGGTACCTAGAGCAACCTTGGAAGTTATATTGCAAAAAGCGACTCAAATTGATCACAATTATCTCATCGAAAAAATTCTTAACCCTGCCTCCTTCCAACCCGGTCAGTACGATCAGATTACAAATCAGTGTAGCATTGTGGCCGTTGACTTACACTAGCCAATTCTGTTTCATCTCTTGCAAATTCTAGAAGTGAACCACCCCCTGGGATCTACATGTTGCATCTTTTCCAAGGAACGTCTCAACCTTTATTGCGATGATCTCGCTGAAGTTTATATCATGCAAGACTTGCAAACAGTCCGAACTTCTTGTACCACGGAAAGTCCTCCCGTTCTTATACCATCAAGTGTATTCGAACGTTTTCACCAGGCCGTCTCCGCTTTGCAAGCATCAAGTACCGGCAATGAAGTACAACCACAGGCAGATAGTACCACCTCGCCTCTCCGGACAGAATCTCAATTACTGGGCCTTCACGTTGTTTTGATAGCAAAAACGTTAGAGACACAGTTTCAATATTGTTTTGAAGCTCGTGAACATGCTTTCCTGGAAAACATCAGAGCACGATTGGAGTTTCCTGAAGTATTCAGTATTTAGGTGCAATGGAGCTCATAGCGATTAGTTTCAACTCAAATTACGTTGATGATCTTGTTAATCTGTTCAATTGGTCGACAATCTTAGCAATCGTAATGCAGAAATATAAGTGATTGATCTCCAAGGTGTGAGGGAGACGAAAGGTGTGTCTCTGCCCAAGGCCGGCCTGGCTCTCATAATCATATGGTCCAAGAATATGTACTCGATACAACCGTTCTAGCTTTCAATAAGGCTGGGCTAATATTGAGTGAAAGAATACAAAAAATTTGGGGTTGCTCATGTTGTCTGCTGCGCAAGACATTATATGAACGCTATCATCTGATGGCTGAAAACTTTAGGATGATATTATTGTCCGCACAAGGGAGTAGTCCTGTCACAAGGCCACCGTCTATACCATTGAGAGTGTCCACAGAGAAAGTATGTCTATGCTTCTACAAAGGCACGGTAACAGATCATACCATTGGATCCACTGTTCAATTTGACCTGTTCATTTGGACGTAAGTAGTACACTTGTCCCTCTTTCTCGACTGAAGCCGAGTCGATACCGCCGGTACCAGAGGTGACAATAACGATGGAAGGGCCATCAATTGGTGGATGACAGTCTGTCTGGTTCGGACCAAGTGTGGTGGCAAGCACAGAGAATTCCGCGATAGGTGGGTCGTAAAGGACTGTGTGAGTGCACGTTTTGTAGTTGGTGGGCTCGAGTCGCTGGCTTGAAGCTGAGCCACATTTGTAAGTCAACATCTCCACGAGCGTGTTGACATCACGTAATTTGGGTGTCAGGCCTGCCCGAACGACATTGTCGGATGTCGCCATACACTCCACGATATCTGACATTGAGACAATGAGAAGATCAGCGTGGTGAATCAAAAGTACGCCTAGAAAGGGATTGATCGTACCTCCACTGAGATAAGCGTGCGGCTCGTTGGCGCTTAGGAAAGCGGCTTGTCCAGGTTCGAGGTGCACTAAGTTGAGCATATAGGTGCAAAATACTCCCACATCTCGTGGAAACTGTTTGTCGAGCTCGATGACCAATCGTTCAAGAACTCCATCTTGCGCTTCAGTGGTCAAGCGGCTGACCAGTTTTCCAAGTTCCTCTGATACATGCTCTGCGTTCGCATTCATCAAAGCACTGAACAAGGCGCGGAGGTCAGACTTTTGATCTGTTGTTGAGGTGGAGTTGCTTGTCGCAGAAAGGAATGACTCCGCAGCCTTTTTGCCTACTACCGCGGCAAACTCGGGTATAGTGCGTAAGAAGCCAGCGATTTCATCCAAAGGGCGAAAACCACAAAATCCCGCGAAGGGTGTCAAAGCAACAGCCATCTCAGGCTACAGGAGATCGCAAAAAAGATATGACTTCAGATCAGTGATGTAGGATACCAACCCTCAGATCGGAAGACCAACCTTGTGATTAGGGTCTTTGTAAATTTCCGGTCTTTCACGATGTAACCTTTCAGCAAGGGTTTTATCGGGATGTGCTTGGATCGAGAGTGCTTTACGAATGGCCAGGATTTTGAACAAGAATGGCAACTCCGAATTATACTTGGCCGCAACTCGTTCACCAAGTAGCTTCTTTGGATCACGAGCGATATAATCTGCCAAGAGGGGTTGACCGTCACTCGCAAGGCGAGTAGGAAGGGAAGGATGGGTACCCATCCATAGCTACAGTCAATCCGGACAGCACTTTAGTATTCGAAATCTCTTGAGCAATGTATCACCCGAGAATGAAAAGCCGTGTACAGAATGATGAAGAGTCACATACTTCAGCGTAAGGTTTTGATTCATCGTAAACGAAACCGGGTTGATGACGAGCATATTCGGCCACCTTGCTACCATCCTTTCCCAGCTTGCCCCAATCGTACTAGAACATGAAGAAAGCAAAGAAGTGCTTGAGCTAATGTTCAAGCCGATCAAAAAGTCACCAACAGCTTACAGACTGAGCTTGAGGAATGAGTTCGATGACGGTGGGGTATGAATCTGATGACATTTTGAGAAAGCCGCTTGGACGTTTCTATGCTATCAATTCCACTGGCGTGGCGTAAAGTGATGAGGGTCACTGGTGAGAGGGCAGAAAGATATAGAAACTTTTCAACCTGTAACTTGAACATGTCAACTTGGATGATCTGGAAACTCCCGTAGATTTACTCAAACGCAACTTTCCTAATTTCCAGAGTCAAGCACCTGCACCAGTCAAGACTCTGGTGATCTATCACTATCCGCCAACCTCGCGCTCGCTACACGACTCTCTCAAGCTTAATAAACCTCTCAACAAGCGCGTTCGCCGAAACTCCAAATCTCTTGAGTCTATAAGAATAAACCAACTCCCATCTCAAGCTAAGATGCTTTGCCTTCCAACCCCGAGCAAGCGACAAGGTAAATCATATCTTACACAGCAACTGCCAACCACAGTACAAGACCTCAGGGTATCCAAAGGAATCCAAAGTTCAGGGATGCAGCTTGCAGGGGAGGTGACATTATGTATGCGACGCTCCGCGCTCCTACATAGACCGCTGCACTTTTACCAAGCCGCACATGGCGAGATCGGAGACGGGCATGATGCGGCGCACTCACGTGACGAAAGGGTTTTCTTTCAAGCTTTCGCCAAACTCGTGCCGTGGACTCCGGAAAGTTCCCACTACGATTGCAGTCAAAACTTTTTCCTTTGCCTCTGCTCGGAAGTTCCCTCACTTTAACTTGCACATTTCAACCCGATCCCCTTTATAACCGTCTAGACTCAAGGTTAACATGAGTCCATCCAATCCTACCCAGGCGCGCCGCAGTGATCGCATTCGTACCATCACGTCCAACACAGTCTCGAGCAAGCAACCACGCAAAGCTCCCAAGCGCAAACGATCAGATGATGATGAACCCTCGACTGAAAAGCGCCAGAAAAAGGCTTCCAACAAGCATCTCGAAGTTTCGGCGCGTAGCGCAGCTCTTGAAGCCTCTCAACGCGCTTTCGTCAAAAAACACCGCGCCCTCTTCCTCGAACTCCTTCCACAGTCTCATCACGCAGTCTTGATCAAGCAGACTGATGCTGTCAAACTTCCACCAGTTGGTCTCGAAGCGTTGCCTCAGCCAATGACGGTGCAAGGAAAAATGAAGTCTTACCAACTCCACGGCCTCAGTTTCCTGGTGTACATGCATCGCAACGGCATGAATGGCATTTTGGGGGACGAGGTGCTTTAGTAGTCTCCAATCAAGATTCGTGTCGGTTTTTCTAACTGATTGATTTGTCTGATTCAGATGGGATTAGGAAAAACACTTCAAACATTATCACTGTTGGTTTACTTCAAGGAGCAAGCTCCAGATGACTCGCAGACGTCTCACCTGATCATCTGTCCGCTCTCTGTGCTGTCATCATGGCAAAACGAAATCAAGAAATGGACCTCACTCACGAGTTGTACCCTCCATGGCTCGCCTGCTGAACGCAATCGGCTCACCAAACAGCTTGGAGCGCTAGAGTCAGCCCACCAATTCGATATTGTATTGACCACCTATGAAGGCTATGAAGCGGAACAGGGATGGTTCAAGTATCCGGCTCGAGCGTGGGGATATGTGATTTTGGATGAGGGTCACCGAATAAAGAACTGGGATACCCAGCTTGCACAATCTCTTCAGCCGATCCGATCGTCTCATCGACTCATTTTGACTGGTACACCAGTCCAAAATAATTTGGTCGAACTCTGGAGCTTACTGCATTGGTTGCTTCCTCATATTTTCACCCCTAACACACTCTCTGGGTTTTCAAGAGCATTCGATCTGAGCGCAGGAAGTTACAACACAACTTTTCTCAATTCTAGTCGGCGTTTACTCAATCTCTTGATGCTCAGACGAACAAAGGATAGCGTTCAAAGCCAGCTCTCAGTCCCTCCTCGAAAAGAGATCACTCGTTTGTTTTGGCTCTTTCAATTCCCTTCGTTCTCCGTTCCTTCACGGACTGAGCCTTTTGTTACCTTTCATATCGCATAGTTTACCTTCCCATGTCTCCGTGCCAACGCTTTTGGACCAAAAGGTTGATTATGAAATCCGATATGGCTTCCTTAAAGTGAGCTCTCTGTTTTTCAACGCAGTCTTGACCCATGTACTCACTTCCTTTGTTGGTACATATCCTACTTTCAGCCAAATCTTCCAAACTGCTGGTGGCGACAATGACCCAGTGAACGCCTCGAATGCAATAACCAATACTGGTGGGACCAGCACGCCCCTCTCGCTCGATAAGGTCACCACTCATGTGAAGGAAGTGAAGGAGCTCAGTAAACAAATATCATATGCAATCGAGTCTGAGACCAAAGATACATCCAACTCGTACACGCGATTGATGAACTTATTAATCCAACTTCGCAAGGTTTGCGATCAGTGAGTGATAATTTCTGACATATGTTTGGTACTGTTGATACAGCTGAGGCTAACTTGGTCCCTCGCTAGTCCTTATCTGATGCCAAACTCGGAGCCAGAGCCATTTGAGGTTGCTGAGCACGTAGTTGAAGCGTCAAACAAACTTATACTACTCGACAAACTGCTTACTAGTCTGATACCTCAAGGCAAACGGATCCTTATATTCAGTGGCTTCACCAGGATGCTCGACATTTTGGAGGACTTTCTCAATTTACGCTCCATTGGTTTTCTACGATTAGATGGTGGCACTAGTCGACCTCGTCGATCGCTCAACATTCGACTCTTTCAAAACTCTTTCCAGGGACAACTGCCTAAGCCAGTCTTTCTCATATCTACCTCAGCAGGAGGGCTGGGGATCAACCTCACCGCTGCAGATACAGTCGTACTTTACGATTCAAGCTGGAACCCACAAGTAGATATACAGGCGATTGCCCGGGCCCATCGTATTGGTCAAACGAGGCCGGTCACTGTTTATCGGCTTATCTGTGCAGCCTCGGTGGAGGAGCAGATGTTGAGCCGTCTACGCAAAAAGCTATATCTTTCACTCAAGATCATGGAGGCCAATAATGGGAATCAGGAACAGGAAACAGCCGAGACCATCGAGACGGAGGAAAAGATGAAAATGTCCACGGGAGAACTTTGCGCGATACTCAGAGGTGGTGCACGAGTCTTTGATAATGCGAACTCAGTTCAGAGCAGCTCAGTTCCGATGGAGGATGAGGATCTTGAAGACATTCGCTCAGGATATCGTGGGTTTATTGACTCCAGTTTCGAGGAGATTTTGGAGACCGCGAGACAAGAGGAGCAAAAGACAAAGCAAAAGTTAGAGAACGAAGTGAATGGAGAACAATCAGTTGAGGATGAAAAAGAAGAGTTAGAATTGTTACAGGGAATCGAGAGAGTTCGGACGCGAATGTTTGAGGGTAAAAAATACCTTGCTAATCGCAGCCAAAAGCAAATTGGGGAAGATTGGGTGAACTTGCAGCGGAATGACAGGGCAAGAAAGTTGCGAACACAGATGGTAGATGGACATGCTGTTGAGAATGACACAATGGGTAACGTGCGATGGGAAGCGGTACGTGACTCTTTCGTCCTTCTCCATGCTCTTCATCAATTGCAATGACTCTATTTGAGTACATTCCTGAATGGTATCGCTTTCTTCCAGGTAAAGACAATTACAAGTGATATAAACGCATTGCTAAAACTCCAGGACACGAAACGGACGAAACGCAAGTTTGATCACGAAGAAGCTTGTATCGTCTGTCACGATGGCGGAGAGCTATACCTTTGCAATCATGTCAGTCTTCTCAGTCTTCTTAACACTATATCATCCTGAACGCTGAAATCTTTCTACCTGGTGATTCACCCCCCCGTAGTGCCCTAGGGTCGGACATGCAAAGTGTTTGGGTTGGTCCAATAAAAAATTGAACCAAAGTACCACTTTTATATGTACTCAACATTCATGTACCAGTTGTGGTCGAAGTACGAACGATTCGGGTGGAATGCTTTACCGCTGCCAGACTTGTTCCGACGCATATTGTGAAGAAGTATGTTGACCTTGTGAGGACTCATGGAAGTCACATATTGATGATGTGCTTTTTTATCTGTCGGCGGATCTCTTTTTAGTGCTTACCTGAAGAGGATTTCCATCCGATTGGGGAAGCCATACCGGAATTCATCTTGTTAGGGTATGGGCCAATTAGTTCGGCATATTACATGTGCGTTTCCTTCCACTTGAATGAACCGCATCAATATTACCCATGTCATACTGTTGATGCTGATTTATATCATGTTTGGTATATTTGGGATTCTTCGAGTGAAGTCGGTGTGTGGAATGTATAAAGCATTTCAAAGCGAACCCTGAAACACTCAAAATGTGGGAGGAAGAAGACGCAAGGATCTTGGGACAACTCAAAGAGAATGGTATTCCATTTCGTCCTTGAAATGATCTTTCAAATTGTTTTTTTACAATCATGATCTCAATCAACTTCCCTAGGAGATCGTGCGTTCGTTTATGTGTGCATATTTGTTCATGTTGATATTTCATGCTGTGTTCAAAGACTAGCAATGTCTTCTGTCTCATAAAACTACGCAATTAAATAGTAACGCAATCGGTCTTGGAAATCAGTGACTTCCACATTCACTGGATGTACAATACATCGCCTACCCTACATTCTTGCCACCCTATTTTTTGGTACACGCCTAAATTTGAGGCTGCAAGAGTCTACTCCTGCATTATATGAACCATACTTTGCTTTGGCAGTAAAGGAGTTTCACTTTGTCGTGACAATTTCTATTTTTCCAGTCTACGGCTCATAGATTACATGGCGCTGAAAAAAATCAAGCACGCTCACCAAAATCGCCTGATATTTACTTTCATGTCATCTTACTGATACACGATCGCATCTACCAATTCTGATCACAATAACCAAATGGCTTCATCGTCCATTATCAATCCCGCGAACTTTGAATGGATCCGTGCCATGAGAAACTTTTAACACCAACAAAGTCACCAGTCGGATCTCTTTGAGATACTCCTTCATCTTCTGAGCTCCTCCTTCATTTCCTGAACCTGACTCTTCGATCTCATGTTGATCAGGTAAGAACTCGATATAATTCTTGAAACCCTCATCAGCAACGACGGCGGCGAGATCGAGTGTGCGTCTCAAGTTTCTGTGTTATATATGAATGCTTGAGTTAGCCAACAATAGATATAACTTCATTATAAGGGGAACCTTGAAACTCAACTGGACAATAAAATTACTTGAGTCCACCAGTACGCCATGTAACCTGAAGACCAATTCTGGAATATAAATTTTCCGAATCCGTTCTAACTCACTCACTCGCTTTAACAATCCGTCATCTGGGCCTTTGTAGAAGTGGTATGATATGATTAAGCTTATGGTCTATCCCCTGATCATCGTACTCGTGAGTATAGAGTACATTGGGTGCTTACGTGGCATCTGATTTGGATCTAGTTTGAGATCCTGAAGCCATTCTGACTTTAATAGATTCACAATGCTCGTATGTAACTGCGTACACAAACCCTGTGGTGGCAGTGAAGACCAAATATGATCAGTCATAACAATTTGTTTCAAGCTGAAGATCGTACAAATTTACTTCAAATACGTCTTTATACTCTTGAAGCTCAGTCGCTGAACACCTGTATTTCGTTGAACAACCCAAATGAGATTGGTATCAGTACAATACAAAATGGATGAATAACCAGCGCGAGATAAATATACCCTTTGACTGGTTGATGACTTAACACCTCGTTTGCCTCCACGTGAAGCTCCAAACAATGAAAGAAATCTTGATACTGCGTGAATTCTAATATTTCAGTAGAAGCTCCATTCATTAACCCATGGACATCCTTCGATTCACGTCCGCCATCATCAGGATCCTTCTCATTCGCCACAAAACCTAACAGATCGGGCGGAAGGGAAACAAGAACCTGCCGTGCTGCGTTTGGATGGCCGCTGGCTGACCAGATTGAACAAATTGAGAAATGAAGTTAGATACTTGAGTCAATCAGGAGTATGATGAGAGTGAGGGAGGAGAAGCAGAAACAAAGTAAATTACCCAGAAAATATCGGATCAATGAATTAGCTTGCACCAAAGCATCAAAATAGGTGACTCGATCGATGGTAAGCCATTCCAATGAACGAATCAGTTCTGTTTGTTTATCGGTCAGTTCGTTGTTGTACCAATTCAGTCCATGTTGCCTATTCGGTTGCAGTTTTGCCTGGAGGAGAAAGAATATATTGCACTCAGCCAATCTTTCTCGTTATAGCCATGATGTGCGCATTTACCTCGTTTATATCTTTCAATGTCAAAGTGACTGCGGTACAGGCGACCCGTGATAGATCTAGACCGTGTTCCATGGCTCGGAGTAGGGCGGTCTGGCGAGTCTGGCGATCAGCCGAGGGACCAAGAGCTGATCTCCGGAACAGAAAACAAACATCACATCAATAAACGGTTCCAAATCGACCACCTGAACATCAGGAAAAGCCACGTAGACCTACAAATCAAGTACTTGGCGTATGTTTCTACTCCTGATTCTTGTTGCAGTTCAGCAACGTAGAATGCGATCAGGTCGTGTTTCTTTTCTATCTCTAGTACTTGGACATAAGACCTGATGATAGCATTAGAAGCCTCGTTGTCCACTTTCTGGTCAATCGATTTCAAGAAAAGGATCAAATGTGCAAAGAATCTGATGAGATGTGACAGATTCCTGATTGAATCATGGGTGTGTAAGGGTCATTTTAGTAGATTTCATTAGTACGATTTCTCTCAAGCCAATTCTGAAGAAGCCAAAGCCAAAAGTCGTACATTGAACATACTCTGTAGTGAATTCCTCGCTAGCAGACTTGAGCTGATTATGGAACGTCGTGAATAGGTCGTTGATTTTGTCGATTGCCAACCACATCTGCGCAACATGGAACGGATTCCGAGCACTTTCGGCCAAGGCAGCGTTTTCACTTCTCAGAACTCTATCGAATGCCTTATTCATAGCGGCTTTGATACTCTCTTCTCCCAAGTTATAGCCATCCGAAAACTTGTCCAAATTGGCATCCTCCGGATCTGCATCATAGTCGTCTTGGAACACTGAATCAGCTTCCTCAAGCTGTGCGCGAGATTTGTTTTTGAGGGTTGGAAGTTTTCCATGCGACCAATAATATCCCATCTGTGTCGATTCTAAGATTCGGTCGACCTGAATTTCAAATATGGAGTTGATGTAACACCAGATATGATCTTCCCAGCTATAGCATACTGGTAATACAGAGCTAATTTGACCGGATAGCGCACCATAAAGCGCTTGTTCGTAGGTGCTCAATGACTGATTCAAAGAGATCTGTAGACATATTGATTTCCACAATTTCCGGTTCAAACAGCCGGCCCGATTCATTTTCCCGTAAGACGGTGCAGAAGGCTCTAGAGAGTTTTCATTCACTGACTCCGAATCATTGAAAGGATCAACCGCCAAAGAGCCATAACCGTCCCCTTCGCTCAAAGAAGGATCCTGAAATAATCTACCGCCCGATAGACTAGCTGCACGCCATGGATGATCGCACTGTCGACAGAAATCAAGCGCAAGTCCGATTTCACCAGCTCGGACGTATTCATAAAGAGTTCTTAACATTGCTCGATCATATTCCTCATCGAACTGGTCTAACCGACCGAGTTGCGCGTTATTCGACATCATCTGATCCGATATCCTAGAGTTTTGGCCTATTTGACCTGGCACTTCACGGAGCGGTCTGAGGGGTGCGTCAGGGTCTAGTTCATGAACAAGCTTATTCTGAGGTGAAAGTTGGGAGATCGGCTGGTTTTTTTGTGAGGCGTGTTTCAGAGCGGCCTTTGTGTAGGGCCAATAGCCTCTGCGGATCTCGGTAGCGTGAGTAGGACCAGGACAGGTATAAAGCCAATCCCTTATTGTGGAAAGCTCTAAGAGATCCCGAGATTTGGGTAAAAAGGCATTGACGACGTCCAGAGGTGGTAGATAAGGGTTCTTGAGTGATTTAGACGTGCTGAGATCGAGTGGTGAGGTTCTCTCGGTATATAGCATTTGTACGAGCTGCCAGGTGTTACGTTCAAGTTTCCATGAATCGATCTGATCGGGGTTCAGCTCGATAGCCTGATCCTGCAATCTGGAATCACAAAAGTGTTAGTCTCGCTACTGCTTACAACGTGACAGAGCGGGATGAATTTCGTACTCACTTGAGGTCACAAACTTGTTTCCACACTACGGCTGGCCCTTGATCAGGGTCAAGAGGCCTGACATCGTTAGATTTGAGCGTCCTCAGCGCGTTTGCGAAGAGGGTAAATTCATCAGGTGAGTCAGTCACCATAATTCTGATTCAATTTTGAGTCGTTGACTTTCGTCTTTAAAGCTTTCGATCGACTTGAGGTGTCCAAATTAATTTGATCAAACACGCGACTTTTAAGTGAAGATGGGTGAGTCTCATTTAACCGACACCCTGCTGATGATAATCTCGAGCTGGCAGTCCGTGGGGCTGGCTTTCGCGCATTTCGGGGACTTCTACCCGCTCGATCCGACATCACATCCCGACACCGCTGTCGTGAGGCATAATATCCGACCCGGCCTAGTTTTGTAGAAGTGGATCTGAACATTTCGTCATTACAAACTGACTCATTCAATTTCAACCAACTATCTCTACATAAACAATCTCCAACAAAATGCCAGACCCAAACGCTTTCTGGATAGTGGCATTCAGACCAGGTAAAAGAGATTGATTTCATATATCCCAATGAGACTTGAGTTAACAAGTTTCTATTTTAACCATTTTAACACAGATTCAGATGATTCTGTTAGTGATCTCACCGATCGACTGGGTTCTCTTACTATCACAACAAAGTCATCAAATTCATCCAATGGATTACCTTTAATCCAAATCACAACTCCAGATTTCAAGGTACTGAGACAAATCTAGTATCAATGGATGATCTTTAGACTGATCCTCACTTATGTTGCTTCATCATCAGACCGCACCACTCTCAACCTTGATCAATCTATCAGAAATTCTCGCCAAGAATGAACCGATCGCTAATCAGACCCTTCTCAAGATTCTAGATACTCTTAAATCTCTGAACTCATCTAAACCTGCCTCATTAGTTCGAGCTGCATCGACTAACCCATCTGGTTCTACTCGAACAAACGCTCAAGTTGATGATGATCTGATCATGGAAGATGGAAGGTCTTATGAAGATTATCTTTTGAAGAAATGGGAATGGAATCGAGTCAAATATAACCGAGTCGAAAGTCGAAAGTTGGAGGATTTAGTCGAAAGCCTTACAAAGGAAATCTTAGCCATTGATAATTCACATAAGCTTAAGTTGAATACTTATAATCAGGCAAAGGCTCAATTCAGTGCCACTCAGAGACAACAGGCGTGAGTGAAGATGCCCTCAGTTGGAAGTGACTTGATCGGGACCTATTCCCATTTCTTCCATATCTTATCTGTTTTTCATAAGTTTTGGCTGAAGTGTTGCGTGTTCATCATATTATATCCAGGGGTAATTTGTCAGTCAGGAGTTTGAGTGACGTAGTAACTCGTGAACATTTTGTTGATCAAGATTCAGAATATTTGCAAACTTTGATAGTTGCGGTTCCAAAGTAAGCGCCCCTCACAAGTCATGAAAGCTTATTATCGTCTTATCATATTCAACTAATTCTCGACTTGTCTATTAGTAATCAGGTGAAAGAATGGATGAACTCTTATGAGAGTTTAACAGCGCTAGTCGTACCGCGCTCTTCGACAAAAATCACCCAGGATTCAGAATACACCCTATTCAATGTAGTCGTGTTTAAGAAGATCAAGGATGACTTCTCGCATAAATGTAGAGAGAAGAAATTTATAGTGAGAGACTTTGTGATGGATGAGAGCGAGATTGAAAAGAGTCGGTCAGAAGCTAGGCAGTTGGAACAACAAGAGAAAGAACTTTGGGTAAGTCACTCAATCGCTACAGATGGTCTGAAGATGGAAACCAAAAATGCATAATCTATACTGATTTTTCGATTTGTCCCTGTGCTGTTTGTTTCATCATCACAACCTAGTCTGAGCTATTAAGACTTTCAAGAATCAATTTCTCAGAAACATTCCAAGCCATCGTACACCTCAAAGTGATCCAAACCCATATTGAATCTCTCTTAAGATACGGTTTACCAGCTCATTTCCTCACTTTGATCCTCAAACCTGATTCTAAGAATTCTAAGAAGATTCTAAATCAGTTATTAGCTTATCAAGACTCATTAGAATCTAATTCTAAACAAGATGTTAATCGAAGAAAAGCTAATTCAAAGGCTCTTGAAAATGAAGAAGCGATTGGAGGTGAGTATGCAAGTGTACTTGATAAGGAAGTCTTTGAGTTTGTTTTGTTTGAAATCATTGATCCTAGGAGGGAGTCCAAGGACATTTAGTAGTACGACGATGGTCTAGTTTTCATTATCATTGTTTTTTCATCTAATTTTTTGCTGTAGAGTCCCTTTGCTTGTTATCAATCTTAGTTTTCTTTCTTTCTAGACGTGTTGCCTCTTTATGAGATGGTTCTTTTTCCGCTTACGTATTCTCAGCATTCTTCTATCTTATCATTCATCTGTATGAATGAATAATTCCCTTGCTTATTGTTTTTTTCACTTTTTCAAGTGTTGCGGTGTTGGGATGTGTGGTGGATGATGAGATTCTATAATAGACTACAATGTAAATCTTGAGGACTTTCTACTATTTTGATTGATGGTGGGAGTGCAAGAGTGGTCCAGGGGTTAGGGAACGCGCTGATGATTCATGACGCAAAGATGAAGTCAGAGTTGTGCAACTTATCCCAAGCTGGCGCCTAGACTCAGAGCCTCAGAGGAGTGTTACATTATGGCTTTGTCTTTGATCTGTTCTTCGAAGACTTTCCTCTAAAGCGTGCCTCAATCTCACTTGAGATCTTGATCTCAGCTTCTTAGCTTGTGTCGCTGATTGTATCAGCTCTCTTTAGTTGATCTTCATAAATTGTTAGAGAGTGGGATGAGGAGGGATTCTGCATATCGAGCTCTTTGGATATGCAATTTGAATGCTGATGGTATCTTTTTTGAATCAGATCTTCAACCACCCATGATTCTCTTATCAGAATACGTTTTAGCAAGCAAGTCATCCAGTTCTCAGTCATCCGATCCTATTATTGCCAGTGGGTCAAGTCACAGTTGAGATTTTTGTATGGCTTTAGACTGTCTCACCATTTGTCCTCTCTCTCAAAAGTTGAACAACTCAAGCTGTTCTGTTTGAGTAGAACAAAACAAATCATGTCACATTCTGTTCTCTTGATTCTCATCTCCATCGGTATTCCATGGTTATTACTTTATCTTTCCCATTTACGAGTCATAGATATTTTCCCTTCAAGACGACAGCTTTCAGGAAGTCGATCAAGTTTTGATACAGTTCCGATTACCTTTGATACTGGCTTTGGGTGGCTTCGTTTCCACACCCAACGCTTCAATCGCACTTCGTATCGTTTATTGAAAAGCATAGGTGCAACCGAAGTGAGTTCAGGTCCAGACCCTAAGAGTTTCGATCCTGAACCACTTCCATACCGAGATCGACGGGATGGTCAACCATCACGCCGTGTGCACAACACCTTAGAGACTCTATATGATATCGGCACTATTCTCATCCTCATCCTTCAACTCTTTGCTCTCCTTACTCTTGCTTTTCTTTTCTTCCAAATTGTCTATCATACTATCTTTAGTTCGCCTCATCGAACTTTGATTCAAACCAATTCAACTATTTCTGTGTCAGAAAGAGTCAAAGGCTTGGTTCGTCGATCAACGTCCTTTGAGCCTACTACACTTAACAAACCAATCGTTCAAACAGAGAGATCCTCTCGATTTTCTTTAAAACCACTTGTAAGTTCAAAGTTTGTAAAAAAAACCTCATTCATACGTTTTGCTGGTGGTATTGCGGTAGTTTTGGTGTTGAGATCCAAATCATTACATGCTTGTTTTCTTATTTCAGATACCCGGACTAACCATTCCATTAGACCAAGCACCAATATATCTCTCAGCTCTCCTCATCTCCCAAGCATATCACGAGTTTGGCCATGCCTTTGTTGCAGCCTTGTAAGTTTTTTCTCTTTTATTTTGAGCCATCATCGAAATGACATGATATCATTTATCGGATTTTATTTGACAAAACTCAGCTAATGATACACAAATTTGATCCAGAAATAATGTACCTATGATCGCCTCAGGCTTCATTTTAGCTTTCCCTTTCTTTCCAATTTTCTATGTCTCTATCTTATCCATCTTACCTCCAACTTCTCATCCAAACTCACAATTCATCTCACTACTGAATCTTCGAATGGCAACCGCTGGAATTTGGTTAGTCCCTACATCTCTCCAACCACATATCTTTCTTCTCACGGAATATGTCTTTTCCAGGCATAATCTAGTCATGGCATCAATTGGATGGTTGTTTTGGAATGACGGTGCTGATTGGGCGGGGTATCTTTTTCGACTTACGGGTGGATGGGCAGATGTAGGGGATCTTGGAGTAGGCGTGGTTACTGTTCGAAAGGTTTGTCTTCTTGTTTTTTTCCGTAAGGTGAAAATATTATGTGATTTTGCCTTGAGCTGATCGTGATTGAATTTTGTCTTTGATACTTTAACATAACAGACCTCTTCAATTTCATCTGTTCTCTTGCCTAAAGAGATCATCACAGATTTAAATGATTTCTCACTTAGTTTAAATTCTTCTACAACTCTTCCTAGTCGATTTCCTAAATTACCTCTTCAAAAATGGGAGAAATATTTACTTTCAGATTACATTTGGCTTAACTCAGATCAAAAAGGTTGGTGTATGAATAATTCAAACTTCTTAAGTGAGTTAAATTCCCTTTGTCATTGATTCATCTCTCTATGATTTTTATATTTGTATATGCTGACCTGTAAACTTTTAATGTGCGATGATAACCAACAGATTTAGACTCTAAATGTTGTCAAAGACATAATGAACAAAACCCGAAGGAAAATGAATCAAGACCAATATGTTTCAAAGCACTCCATCAAGCAGGTTGTTTGAATCCAAGAACAGTAAGCGAAATGATGGAAAACTCAATTCGGTGTCACACAGATCAAGAATGTAAATCAGAGAAAGGAGGAGGGATATGTGTGAGACCAGATGAAGAAAGTAAATTATTGAGGTTAAAGGTACGTACTAATCTTCCCAGTGGATCTTTTTCAAGTCGGACTGTCCTATTTCAAGGTTCAACGTTGGAAATCTTAGGAAATGGTACGAGTCTTATTTAATCTTTTTGGGGATGGGGACTATTCTTGATCTGAAAAAGTGATTTGTTTCTGTAGTTCAAGTCAGTAAGCTCTTACCCACAACAGAATGGATACCAAACCAATTAGAGACTCGACTCCAAAATTTCCTAAGGTTTGTGTCTTTGCTCATCAATATCTACAAGTTTTGGAAACTTTTGAAGATGAATCTGATGAATATTTTTCACATGAATTATCATCTAGTTATTTGATTTCGATTTCCATTGGGATCGGTTTCTTAAACCTACTACCAATCAAACGTTTAGATGGATCAAGTATAGTAGAATCCCTACTCCATTTTCATACTTCTAAATCAATCCAATCATCAGAAACCAGATTGAAAATTGAAAATTTTGAAATCTCAGATGAAATTGATGAATATAATTCGTTTGGACATATTAAACCGAATCTATTTAATCGACAAATCGATTTAAAAAAATCAATTCAAAACTCATTTGTTTTTAAGTTTGTTGGGATTTGGAAATTGGCTTCGGTTTTAATTAAATTTGAAAAATTGATTACCTTTTGGTTTGTTTGTGTTGTTTTGAATTCATTTTGGAATCTTTGAAAAAATATTTGGGAAAAAAAAATGGAATCATGAAGTCTTCATAATTGTAAAGTTTGTTCTTTTTGGTTAAAAATTAATTTGTATGAAATCTTGAGTCAAAAATAATCTTATTGTTCATCTTCTCAAATGAACACTTGATGTTTATTAAGATTTAAATTTATGGAAAAGGTATGATGAAATTTTTAACAAACAACAGTGAAAGAAAGTGACAGGTAAACGAGAGTTTTGACAAATTAGTATAAGGTGCCTCCACTGTTTGCTATAGATATCTCGTGATGTTTCACGCTACTTCGTGCATAAAGATTCTTCACAGCCTCTCCACAGCCCTCTCCCAGCGTGGCCCTATGTTGTGAATTGGGTGGCAAGACCAGATCCAAGGTTGTATGTCTTTGCCATCAAGGTTTGGCCCTCATCTGGGGTGTATCAACTCTCGTTGAATATTCTTGGTGTCATGCAGTTATGTGCTGATGTCCGGCTAAGAAAATTCTAAACTTCAATTCTTTTGTTCAATAAACTTTAAAAAAAGTGACAAGATTATGATAACGAAATCTTCTATACTACGAATTTCATGCGAATCAAACATGAAATATGTGATCTGTTTTAAAAAACAATCAATCAAGATTCAACACTTTGTTCTGTGATTGATAATTCACAACACCAAGTTTCAACTTTGTAAAGCTTTAATTTCTAGAACAGAAGCCAAAGATGAAATCAAAATATCAGATTTGAGAGATTTTGTTTTTACAAATAAATGCTTCTTTTGGCACAACTTATACAAAATCAAAAATGAATTCAACCATTTTTTTGATTTCACTCAGTAGGAGAAGGCTATAAACACTACAAGAAAGATAATAGTTTCTGGGCAGAAAATTAAATTATTGATACACAAAAATATTGAGAGGCCAGGAGGAGAGCAAAAAATGAATAAAAATATGCATCTTGTTCCCTGCGTTGAGAACTTCACTCTGCATATTTTTGCGTATTTTTACAGTCCATATTGATAAGTGTACTAACAATAAACCTTCACAATCATCCAATTACAACCTGTAACAAGCACTGAAATTTGGCTCATTGGTGTTTAGAGAAACTTTTGATTTCTGAAAATACTCATAATTTTTCAATTCCGGTCCAAAACGCTCAGTTTTGGGTGCATTGGTAAGCTGGAATTGTCCTCCAAATAGTTCATAATAGGACCACACAGCATGCTGGTCTGCTAAAAAAGATATCATCTTTTTTATACATTTGTACATACAGATCCATAGAATGATTGTCATACTAGCTACATAGTTCTTGATCCTATGAAAGTTTGAGAGGAAGAGTTCAGCTTTCTAATGCACTTAAAATCGAGTGTTTTGAGGCAGATTTGACAAAGTTATAGGTGTCTTCAGAAATCAAAAGTTTCTCTAGACACTAATGAGCCAAATTTCAGTGCTTGTTACAGGTTGTAATTGGATGATTATGAAGGTTTATTGTTGGTACACTTATCAATACGGACTGTAAAAATATGGAAAAATATGGAGAGTGAAGCTCTCACGGCAGGGAACAAGATGCATATTTTTATTTATTTTTTGCCCTTCTCCTGGCCTCTCAATATTTTTGTGTATCAATAATTTAATTTTCTGCCCAGAAAATATTATATTTTGTGTAGTGAAATAAGATGAATTGGAGGATTTTGGATGACAAATCTTCTGTCTTCTTGTAAACCCATCAGATCATGATTCAAATAATATTAGGATTTGAATGATTACAGAATGATGTACGGGAATTAATAGTTTTGTAGATTACAATAAATAAATTTCAATTAACTTTTTGAGATCAAAACTTAATAAAGATAAGTAAAATGATTATATTAAAATTCAAACATAGATATTTTTGATGGAGATTCAGACAAAAAAAAAGAAAAAAGTCACTTTGAGATACATGGTTAATTAAGAAAAAAAACCAAGAAAGATGAAACCAAGATATATATAGATAATTGATTATGATCATTTTTGATGATTATTAGTATGATTATATTTTTGTAAAAGGTTTGAGAGATACAAAGATTTGTCTTAACAGATATTTTTTTTGGAAATAAAAGCAAAATAAAAACTTGATAAAAGTGGTTTCAAAAGTCTATTTTGATTGTTGAAAAGAATTTTTTGGGGAAAACATTTTAAATTATCTTGAAGTAGAAGCTTTTGATTTAGGATTATTTCCATTGATTCGTTTATTCAAATTTTTAAGTTCTGCGTCAGATCTACAGATACCAACCAAAACGAAGAATCCAAACGAGATGAGTCAATTGTGATAGGAAAAGAAAAACATGGAACTTAAAGTTGAACTAACAAATGACCCATTCCTGCTTCTAATTTAGCCCGTTGTCTTGCAGCTGCCTTTGAATGATGAAGAATACAAAAATATCAGATATTGAAGGTGCAAAAAAGACCTTGTTAAACGTTTTCTTACTTTAAGCTTCGAGCGCCGGTTTCCAAACCTACAAAATACCAAAACAGAAAAAATCAAAATCAGATTAAAATTCCTACAACTCAAAAATATTGAAAGATATATACGGAAAAAAACGATTACCAAGTTCTTAATTGGCTAGTAGGAATCTTCAAACTCTCAGCCAGTTCTTCCATTTCTCTTTTACTTAAATACTCTTGTATAGAAAACCTTTTTAATAAGACTTGTTCTTGTTCAATCGTTAATCTACGTCTTGGTACTTGAGTTGTAAGATGTTGAACTGCGTTTGAAATCAATTCATTTCTTTGAATCGGATCTACGTTTTCATTTTGATGGAGATTTGATTCTTCTGTTGCAACGGAAAAAGCAGTGATCTTAGTACTTAATCAAGAGATTATAAAAAAAAGAATGTAAACTTACTTTGTGATAAATTTGAATGAATCTCTTTATTCAATTCGAATCGATGATGATCATGATGAGGATGATGGAGATGATGATTAATTTCCAGATTTTCAGAAACGTTAGATCTAGAGAAAGATTCAGATCCAGCTCTAGAAGCTTGACAAGATCCAGCACTACTAAGACGATCATAAACCGAATGATCCGAATTAGTAGAAGAACTTCCATCAATCTTCGGATTCTGATTTAATAAATTCGTATTCAAATGTGGTATGATTAAAGGTGAAACTGTTCTAGGACCGATTTCTTCAATCTTATCATAAATCCCATTTGAATCATGAGGATGAGAGTTTGAATGATAAAGTAAGCCTACGCCATGATTCAAATTACATGGTAAATGACTTGGATGAGTCGATTGATTTTTTATGGATGGAAAACTTCTATCAAAATGAGAAGTAGGTGAAGATGATTGAAAAGGTCCATAGTAAGAAGTGATCATTTCAGTAGATTGATTGATCACACATGGTAATCCGTTCATTGGATGATGATTTAAATAATTCTGGTTAGAATTTTCACCATGACATGGACTCAAAAGTGGAGCAAGCGTAGAATGAGTCGATGAATTGTTCATCAAGTTTTCATCTTGATGAATTATAGATAAAGGAAATGTAGTATCAGTGGTAGAGTTGGATACTGGAAAATAATTGTAATTCGAGTTCAAGTTCAAGTTATAATGATTTTGATTAGAGAATTCATGAAAATGATGGCTAAAAGCATTGATAGGTTTTGATTCAGTTGGAGTAAAGACATCTAGTTGATCTGAAAATTGATGATTATCAGAAGAGTCGATGGTTTGAGTTGGTTGATCAAATTCAGCAAGTTGAGGATAAGATGGATTCTGATAATTTGACAATCCTTGAAATTCGTCTGACTCAGGTATATAAATCAAATTCGGAGGTTGAGCTATTGTTGTAGTCTCTGTAGAAGAATCTGGCGATTGATCTGAAGAGACTTGTTGATCTAAACTTGCTGGGCCAGGTCTAAGAAATTGATATTCGGGAAAAGGATATCATACGAAGGAATCAGTTTTGATGCTTGCTTGATCCACAGAAAAACATTGAACTCACTTTGATTCATATAATGCTTCTGGAGTTGATTGTTCACTTTGAAAAGATTGAAGTGGCTGAAGATCTGAACTGGAGTCAAGTTCTTGGGTCCAACTGCTGGGTGAAGCTGAATCTAAATTCTCATTCTTCATGATTTCCCAAATTATCTTTTATCTGAGAACTATGTATGAAGACGTATGTATAAAAGAAATTAATAAAAGTCAATTTCACAACTCTCTTTGTGATGAATGGATGAATCAGTTCTGTAATCTAACTACGGGGTATGTATGGATGGATGATGGATGAATGATTATGGTTCTTTTCTAGAAATCGAAATGAAGTTACAAATCCTTTTGAAAAGTTAATTTCTTTTTTAATAATTATTATCAGTAGAAATCTGTTTTTTTCGCTGAGAGATTGAACTTGATTGATTGGATCAAATCGAGTATCTCATTTTATAGTGAAGAGAAGTTTTCGAATCAGAGTCCTCTTATCGTGCTTGTACTCTGTCCGCCTTATGAGTGGTTCATTTTTCTTAATCAGTGGGTTAGATCTTACCGTCATCAGCCTAAAGAAGTTAAAAATTTGATGTTCATCTCTATTTGAGTCTTTCTCTCTTGTTGAAAACTGACGAATGTTGACCGAGATAACAGAAGGTCAAAAGATGAACGAAAAGCTTTTGAAGTGAATTGAAACTGTTAAGGATCATTAATTTGGATCATGATGCATCGCCAGCTTAATGTTGATTAATGAAAACAAAGTTAAAAGTTTAAACACTACTCACTTGCTGTCAGTGTCAGTGCATGTCAGAGGTAAGAGTTGTGAACTTATCGGCAAGTAATCATCTTTCGAAATCCAATCTCGACTTCTTCAACCTCCGCAGTGATGACTGATCACTGCGGAGGTTGAAGAAGTCTTCAAGGGCCTTTTGAAACCATCTCGAATATCGATATATTAAAATGAGCACTTCAACTCCAACTCTACATAGCTTACAATAAACTTGCGAAGAATCTAAATCTCTCTGCATCAAGTTGCTGAGGAATTCACTTTACATAAAGAGGTCTTGATAAATGCTCTGCTGGCTTCGGGAAACTGCACAATTTGATCGGTAAAGAGTTTGAAGTTGTCATTGTTTTTTTTACCCTTTTACCTTTCAAACTCGAAACTTGACCCATGAAAAAGCCGAAACAAGATCACTGGGGCAGCGGCCGTTTTTTAAGTTCTAACGTATTTTTATATGATCCACGATTTCCGTAAGCTGTACCCAAAATCTCCCGCCAGTTGACAGCTTCAGTTTTGCGGGCAATCTTGGCCAAGCTGTCCTAAATCGGCCGTTGATGATATCCTGGCAAGCGAGCTTTAATGCCGAAAGGTCAAATCAGATCGGATGGCTCATAATTTTAAATTCTAGTGATATCAACTTGAACATCTTCATGCTCATCCTTGAATCTGTATCGACCAAACTGTTTTTGCTATAACATGAGAGCTAGGATCTAAGTGTACATAAGCACAGCAAGCTTCAATCTCAAACACATCTCTTTTTGTCCAACTTACGGATCGAAACCTGGTTATACTGGCGACTTCTGTAGTTTCAAGACTAGGGGTGACCTACGTCATGATAGCCAGCAGCGGCAACAAAATAGAGGTTGCTGCCAGCTGGGCATCTCACTTTCTAGAACTTGCCTCCCACAAAAGAGAATGGAATGAACTTTTCATGAGTTTGAAAACTCGGACTCCGCTGCAAGCGTAAACACCTGCAAAGCACCTTGCCAACAACGAACTTTTATGACGACATAGTGATCGGTCTATAAGATATCTCGCATGGGCTCTGACACGGTGAGATTTACACCGCAATCGAGAGTAAAGCAAACATGAGAATTGAGCCAGTACAATGTGCCTTCTTACGAGGTGATGACTCATGTTGCTGATCACAATAATTCAAAGCGATGTTGCCAGGGAAATAGCCTCAAGACAACCGCTTCGACCGACAGGCTTTGTGACTGCGGAAATGAATCATGCTCCTTAGTCGAGTGTCTATGTAATGAACTCCCCGTGTTAAACAGTTTCTCGTCATCAACACTTACATCATGAAGACAAGAAGGCTGGCCACTCGTTGCTTGATTATTCAAACAAAGATCCGAGCCGAGTGACTTTTACCTCGTGGATCCATGTCTACCAACCCCGATGCGGGCTCTCATGATTGTGAGAACGCGCAACCGTGCCCACCAGTAATCAAGAGGGTATGTCTACAGTGTGACCAAAGAAAGTTTGCAGGCTGGTCAGAGATGCGGATTCGCCGTCTCTGAAGGGCTTAAGTTTGCCTATAAAAGGGGTCTGTTTGAAGCTCAAAGTCCACATCATCATCAATCATCATCCGATATTAATTTTACGTGACCGAGACTGGATCTCGTTCAGCTATCACAAACTATACCTTGTGATTACTCCTCTATCTTTTCACTTACACTTATAGTCAATTACTTACCTCACCTAATTTTTCCCTCTGAAACCCTTTTTCTCTTCCGGAATTAGATTTTCACTGAAGCTATTATCCTCCGAACGGAACTCGTTGAATCCAAAACATATTAAGATGGTCAGTTTTTGAAATCTTACAAAATAATTTTTTGGTAACGGGTAAATGTTGACATGAAGTTTTCACTTTTACTTGCGCTAGATGTCTCAACGGTATTTCAAACTCCTTGTGGTCTTTTTGGGCCTCTTTGCAATGATTGCATCCATTGCCGAAGGAAAAGGTCGACACAAAAATGGGGGTGGAAGTCGCAAAAAAACAAACACCGTAAATAACGGTGGAAATAACGGTGGAAAGCCTAAGGTACCCATGTGCGGAACAACTGCGGCAACATGTTCCAAAGGCTCACCTTCGTGTAAAGGTGGTAAGCCAACGTGTGGCAGCAAGGGCGCATTCAACGCGTGTGGGGGGAACGTGAAAGTTACATGTTAATTGCTGAGCCTCAAGGACCTCAGCCTGAGGTCCTTTCATTCAAGAGAGATTTGCTAGTGATGATTCATTCAAAATACAATCCTTAAGTTTGTGTGTTTGTCTAGAGTACCTGGAGTTATTGTTGAATCCAATGGGATTGATAGGAGTCAGCCCGAGGACAATACACAATGGAAGCTTTTCTTGGAAAATTTGATGATACTAGAGTATAGGCGGGCAAGCCCGCGTCATAGCTTTTGGTTAGGCCAAGGTAGAATATGAGTGAGGGTGAAGTTGAAGTATCAATATGAGAAGATCTTGTGACTCTAGTATGATGATGCGATCCGGAGACAAAGAGGGCATAATATGTATCACAAAAAAAGGATTTTAAGGGTGCAATCGGAAAATTGGACGTGATGTTTACATTTTGAATAGATTGAGAGGAGGTCTATTACGAAAGAGCGTTTCATATACTAAAACAAACATTGCCTGTAAGGGAATAGACTTATGTAGAAGGGAATGTATGTAAGGAAGCCTTGAGAGGGAGGGGCAATAAACCAGACCAATATCTTGAGAAGAAGTCACATTTCATGAACAACAGTAAAATGATCTGGTGAACGTGACAGTGCCACAATGCTAATCGCCTTAATTATTGTGAAGGTCATGGATATGAGGTGGACATTGTATCAAAGAATACATGGGTTGCGGGAAGTGAAAACCATATACAATCAAACAATATGGGAGGAACCGGTTGTATAATGAAACTGACAAATCAATAATAATGGTAATGGACATGAACAGTGTATACAAAAGACGTTATAAAGAAATAAAGAGGAGATAAATAGAGAGTAGAGGTTGTATGCAACCTTTATACGCATAACACAGGTCGCGTTCAGGCGGTATGTTCTAGGGGATATCAAGTAGACTGAGTGGAAGCATTGAATTTTCCGATAGGTTATGCAGTATTGGGTAGCATAGCCTGAATCATTGCAAGTTCCGGGATAACATTTTGTGCAAGGACACGGTATGTTGATCCTTTGTCTAGGGGTAGAGTACCGTCGGGGCACTCATAAGCCTTAACAAAATAGCCTATGAGAGGAGAATTGGTCAAGATAAAGTGATTGATGGAAGGTGAAAAATGGCTGACAATTTTTGTCGGGCATATCCAATTTGGAATCAAGATGGAATACGAGGCAATCCGAGGTCTCAGTATTTTTGTGCCAGATGGTGAAGGTGTAGTTTTGCCATACATTCATTTTTACAGCTACGCCTGTCTGAAAGAGTAACAGAAAGGGGGGCTCCTTGTCTATGGTGGGGAAAAACGGATTAGAAATATATGGAAATGGAAAGGAACATAGATCATGGTGAAACACGCAATCAAGGAAGAGGGAGAAGATGATATTGAGTAATGTCTGGCTGGCAAGCACCGCCGTGACCAGGTCATGGGTTGCAAAAGAAGGCATGGAATAAGGAAGGAACTCGGATTGTGTTTTATTGATGGATGGTTGATGATAATTGATTTATTGACACAATATGTTGTGAATATTTATGGAATGGCAAAGATGGATGGTAGCTTGATGTTGCAAGTTGAAGGTTGATGATAGTTTTAATTACGGGAAGAGAGAGTCAACTTTCAAGCAGAATTTTGGAATGTTCATATTGAATTTGAGTTACTCGGAGACGAAAGGAACTGTGAGATATGTCAATTGAAAAGTGAGATGTGTGCTTTCAACGTAACATCCAGTTGGAACAGTGGAGTGATTGCGGGCGAAGAGCACGAAATAGGAAGATGATAACAATTGGAACCATTTTAGAGCAGAGGTAGTTTCTCAATGTTCATAGGTATGCGTCAAAAATTGAAAAGTTAGCAGAGAAGCACGTGGTACTGGTTAGTCGTTTAATAGACGTGCTTTTGAAAAGTGATGGGTATAACCACACGTCAATGTAAAGCATTTGGAAAAGTTATGGAATACAGAATGCATTTGAAAATTGTGGACAGGTTGGCGTTGAAGTGCATGCAAGAGTTGTGGGGAGTTTGCTGTTCAAAGTGATAGATTTAATGGTGAAAAGCAGTTGAAGCCTGATATTATTCCACCAGAAGGTTTTTGAGAACTTCTGCTTTCGGTCTGTCTGACCGTTGAGTCAAATGGGTGTGTTTCTGTTTCACCGTGGGGTTTCAAGCGCCGTTTTGTCAAAGTGTGATGTCGATGACGGAACAGGAATTTGATTTGAATCATTGCTTCGCAAAAACGTCGAAGAATTGGATTCGCTGATCCGAGGCCATCATGCACGGGTTTTGGACGACTCGGGCTGAACCTTGCGGTGTTGCACCATATATTGAAGAGGTAGATGCTGAGGGTTCCGGAATCACTGGAGAATACAATTGGAGGGACCTAGCGGTGGAGGATGTCCGATTAATGACAGGATTTCCGCCGCGCTGAGAGTGGCCGTCGCAAAAGCATGTTTTTCCAACACCTTAAACGCTTTTTGATGAGATGATGAGATTGCGACCCATCCGGCGTCATGATCTCCAGATTGCCACTCCCAGCGCAAGGGATTCGTATAAAGTGGGCTATTGGAGGCAAGAGACCGCACGAACCGTTGAGCTTTGACGTATGTTTCTGTGAAGGGTCTCTGAGGATGCCTCCCACCTTGACTGGAGTACTATCTGCACCGTTGACTTAGAATTTTTTTGCGAGTTCCTCTATGTTTTAATCTTTCTACTGCAGACTCCTCCGCCATGAGGCCCAACAAGCCTGGCAAGACGCCGAAGTCTTGGCCCGGACTGTATACAATTGTTGAAGCCGACACCGCAGAACCATCCCGTTCCCCCTTAATCACCAGCGCCGACGCATTCCATTTCCCCGCTGATATTCACAACTGGTTGCCCTTTCCCCTCGTGCACTTGGCCCCTCCACCCGCCGGATTTGACTTCAACCCTATCTCCAATTGTTTTGTTTGCAATACGTCTCGACAGCCACCTCATTTTGACACCAATGTTGTCCGACTCAGTCTGCCTCGCAAGGCGGGAATTGAGAAAGATGTTATCTTCGCGATGACATCATCCTCGATCTGGATTTATCAAGGCAAACACTTCAATGGGCAAGCGAAGAAGTCGACTGACCAGCTTGCCTTTGAGAATGACCTTTCTCACCGACGCCGTGGTCCCACTCGACAACACAAATGGACCAAAAGTTGGCTCTGCAACTGCTACGGCAAACCTTCCACTCATGTCAAGCCTACCCTTACCTCTGCCACTTGTCGCTCTGGAGGCTCTGTACGTGTCTCATGCCCAGCAAAGTTCTACATCAGGAAGACCATGACCGGCGATCTCGAGTTCGAGGGTTCTGGGAGCACAAGCGCCACAACCCTTACTCTCTCAAGGACATGCGCAACATGCGCCTTCCCGACGTTGTCTCCACCTGGTTAAATGAACGTGTAATATCTGGTTTAACATGGTGTTCCATCTCTCGACTGCTATCTTGCCCGGACCTATTTCCAGTAGGTAACATCCTCCACTTCACCACATTTGCATGATACTGACAGTCCCTCAAGGACAAGAACAGCGCTCTTGGCATCGTCCCCGAGTTAACAACGCTATCTGTTGCCTTGAAGTGAAGACGAAGTTCTTGAGCCCCGATGTTTTAACTTCTATCAACCTGTGGTGTGAACGCCTTCGCGAGAGGGGGTGGCACGTCAACAACTTCACCAACACCAACAACAAACGGGCATCCGTCGCCTTTTTATCACCTTGGCAACACAAACAAATCCGCCGGCACGGCGACGACGTGTTGTGTTTCGATTCAACTCACAGTGTTTGTTCAGGCGTTCCGGAATGGCCGCTCTCCAGTTTCACCTTACTCACCATCGTACTACGCCACCCCGTCACTGGCAGTGGTATTCCAGTTGCATGGTTCTTGACCACAGATGAAAAGGCGTAAGCGTAGTTCCCAGCTATAGTACAAGCTTCGTCTAACTTGCACCCTTCCACAGAACAACTGTAGGTAGCTTCCTTCGATGGATGAAGAAGGAATTCCAGCTACTACCAAAAGCCTTCATGACCGACTGTGCTCCAGCATACGTAAGGGTGGTTACCGAGACTTATGAAGATTGCAACTTTAAACTGAGACACTACTGGTGTATCTTCCACGTTTCTCGCGCCATAAAGGCCAAGGCGAAGACACACGTGAGTGAGAATACACTTCCTTCAATCTACACAAACTAATCAACTTGACCCCAGGGCGGCACCAAACTTGCCACAAAAATGTACTCCAATGCCATGGCGGTGATCTATGCACGGCAATGGCAGGACACCATCATCAAGTTTCGCCAAGACTACCCGGAGCGAGACGTACCCATGCAGGGTATACACACAAACAACTTCACCGAGAGCTATCACCGAGTCTTGAAATACAACTTCCTCAGCCGCCACACTCTTCGCCGACCCGATGACCTGTTCCAAACCTTGGCTGATAACGCAGAGCCTGATTTCCGTCAGAGCGTACTCACCACAACCCTAGGTTTCAGGCCCCAACGGGCGACTAAGTACCAAAACGTAGCCGAAGGACTGCCCGAAACGTACAGCAACAGCGACCTTGTCGACCTTGGCGTGGAGATTAACAGTCCCCAAGCTAATAAGGTGTGTTGAATCCGGAACTTGGAACTCATGGCCCCATTGCCCTACTGATGTCATTTGAGCAGTGGACCATCAGCAGCTTTACGCGGCCTAAAATGGCAACATACACAGTCAACACAACACCACCGAAAGACGGGACCGTCGGCTACGTCAATAACTGCAACTGCACCCATTTCTTGAGTAACAAATTGGCATGTAAGCATATGTACGTAATTGCTCGCCAGAACACATTCAACATCCTCGAGACCAACCCAGAAGTTGATGATGGAACTTCGCCCTTTGAGTTCCGTCGCATAGTGGAACCCTTCAACATTGTGGTCCGCACTCTGACCAACGTCCACATCGATTCTCCGCCACCATCTCCCGTTCTCAATCCTTACAGGTCCTCTGCGGCACTCGGTCGCACGCCCTCCACAAGCGGCCTCGCCAACGGCAACTACCGGTACGCCCCCATGGTGCCGGCACCTTTACCTTACCAGTCCAACATTGCAAACCTCCAACAACCGCAAGAACACACATTGCACCACACAACCCCTCCAGGTGCTGCGCAACCAAGTATGGCAAACCCCGGTACATCCGCTGCATCGGAACGCTGGCTTCCCAATTCAACTCACCTTACTATCGGCTGTAAGGTCGTAGGTATTTCGACCTTCACCAGTTCTCCAATCTCTCGTGGCCAAAGCCAGACAGAACAATCACCAAAGTATCTGATTCCTGAAATGAGATCTAAAACACCCGCTATCAATATAAAAGACGAAGTAGAGAAAGAGAAAGGAGGAAAGAGGTCCTCAAGAGAAAAAGAGAAAAGGGAGGAGAGACGCGCTCCTAGAACTCCCTATACAACTGATCTATAAACCCATAAAGTACTACACTGTAACCCCATGCAAAGGGAGGAGAGACGCGCTCCTAGAACTCCCTATACAACTGATCTATAAACCCATAAAGTACTACACTGTAACCCCATGCTCCTCCCTTACACCGGCCGTACTGATCCTTCCAGCGATTTGTACATTGAACACTTGTTCTATAATCCTCACCACCTTCAGTCTACACCTCCTCCCCATTGTGTAGGCCCATATGCCGGAATCGTGCCTCCACAAAACGCCATGCTGTATCCAAATTCACCCTTCAGCAGAGACGCAGCCCGGAACCATCAGCATACACAGCAGTTACAGGCTACTTCCCTGGTTAACCTCACAAACAACTCGGCAATGTTTTGCACCCGTAACCCGCAACACACCACATCTAGCAGCCCTCATGCAATGCCACGCCAGTACTACACCCTCACCAAAAGCGATGCTGCGGATCATGCGCCACCGCCACCGCCACGTACCCGAACAGCGTACCAACTTGACCCTCAGTCACTATTCCAAGCTCTCAATCAATACTCGGCACCGCATGCTCCACAACCTTCAACCAGCGGCCAACACATAGAACTTACGCCAGAGAGGACACCTGCACCCGTCACCACTTCTCAACTCGATGGGCTATTCGACGAAATGGACCGCGCCCGGCAACCGCCGGCTCCCCCTAACCGCAGTTACCGCAAACCTTTGTCAACTGGCAATTCCGCCACGGTGCACCGTCCATTGGTTCCAGTCCCAGGCGCTACTCGACCTGGAGCGCTGGCCAACGAAACCACATACAACGGTCTCCCTTTTAGCCAAAACATGTACGTGTTAATTCAATGTTTGCGGCTGCTCACCCTTACTCCAACAGCGCTGCGTTTTACAGGCAACCTCCTACGGCCCAACCAAGCAACTCACACCATGCTACGCATAGTACCCACCGTACCGAGAGCAACGAGCGTCGTGTGGCGCACACAACCACTGACTCCACTGTATCGCACTCAACCAACTCGCACCATGCAACCACCAGTTCCCATCAAATGGAAAGCACCAGGACCCATCACTCCATTGACCCTGGGCCCCCTGTCTTAACGGTTGCCAAAGAAGAACTTAAGATGATTATGAAATGTACCTGTGAGTAATCAGGTAATCAGCTCTATCACAGCCCCCAATCACAAGTGACTGGCAGCCCAGTGCATCCCGGCGACCTCAACATATTTTTGATATGTTTTCAATATTTTTTCAATATTTTTTCAATATGTTTTCAATATGTTTTTGATTGGTTGTTCAACTTACATTGCACAGTCTTTGACAGATATATATGAATCATAATGAGCTGACAGATTAAATTCCCCATCACAGCGCTCAATCACAAGTAACTGGAAGCCCAGTAAGTCCTGGCAACTTCAACTTGTTGTTCCATTTGTGTTGAATCTTTTTTGAATTTCCTGCTCAACTGAAATCATGCAGTATTTGACAAGGTTTTGGATATATCTTGACCAGTTTTCAGATTTTTTGTGACTGGTCATTGTGATGCTCTTTACTGAGCAGGGAGATCTCTGCAAGTTGTTAACTCAATCTTGAAGACATATGGGATATATATGTGAGCTGGATACCGATTTCAAAATAAGCTGACAGATCAATCTCCCGGCATGCACCCTTTTCAGCCACCAGTATTTCCAGCTCTATGTGATTGATCATCTAGAGCTGATCCCAATAACAACCAGGGACAGTGTAAGGCTTCTAGAGAAGTCTTCACTGAATGTGGGAGATTGGCAGTTGGCACGGGAGCAGAGCTCCAAAACGTAATCAAAAAACCCCGCTATCTATTCCTGAATTCCCTAGAACTAGCTCCAGCCGAAATGTATCGGTCATTAGACTCTACTACTAACTATGATAAGAGAAGAATTGAAAGATAAGACAAAATAAGAGAAATTGTGATGATCACTCACCTAGCTCCAGCCGAAATGTATCGGTGAAGAAGAATCTCTTCGTGGAGCTAGGGTGAAGTACAAGTAATGATGCCACCCTGTCATAACCCATGCTGTAATCCCATGTAATCCTTACATCCCTCCCTTCCTAAAAAAAACGCCTCTAAATTGTACTTAAAAGAGAAAAGAAAAAAAAAGAAAAATTGGCATAACTCGCCCCATCAAAATTTTGGCATAACTCGCCCCAAGAAACAGAATCAAACCACAACTAAAAAAAGGAAATTCTTCATCAAATAATATATAATATCTTGAGCAATACCATCCTTGTCTTGAATTCGTTTTCGTCGTATCTTGAGTCGTTTACTGAAAAAAATTGTGTAGACGCCAGACGAAAAAGAGGTGCTCACACATGTGGCCGAGGTAATGTTTTTTGAAACAAGGGGGAGGGGTAGAAGCCCTGGCGGTGCATACTCATGGGAGGAACTTACTTTTAGTCTCCTGAGTTTGTATTATCCGCCTCCGCCCAACGGTCTATTTGATGCAT